AAAGAGTGCTACCTAATGCATCACTGCCACTTCCTGGGCTTTTTCTGGAGCTTTCCCACCAAGTCAAGGCCTGGTTGAAACCTTTTAGCTTTTAAGAGCTGGCAAGATCACAGCTGGAGGGACTGTAGCTTCTGGCCAACTTATCCACGATTCACAGAGATTAGGCACCACAGGTGCTGAACCATCAAAGCTCTCCAGGCTCCTGCAGCTAACAGGCACCCAACTGAGAGCTGATTTTTGCACTGTGCAGGCCTTTAAGCCTTTTACAGGTGACTATTAACACACATAGGTTTGCTTTTTAAAAATAAACTTATTTTGTTAAGGGCAAAAAATGTTGGAAAATAAGAGTTCGTAAGATTAAGGCTTTTTTCCTCATTACATTCTTAAAGGAATTTTCCCCTTAAATACAACATGTAAACATATTTTTAAACACAGAATCCAAAGTTTCCATTCAACATGAAATATTTACACATAGAAATAAATTAGGAAGGATGTAATGCCTCTTAGTAGTACTGTGTTGATTACAGCCACTGAGCAAAGGCCATTAGCATACTGGGTGTTCAGCTATAAATTACCTATATTGTCTACCTTGACCAATCTTCACAATAAGCCAGTGGGAAGTTCATTAGCAAGTCATCAAGGAAGATTTAGTGACCAGCTAATGACCAGCTGTGACCATTAATGAGGATGTCTGTTACTCTAGAGCTTACAGGTCTTTGCAGAGGGCAGTGGAGCTCACTTGGTGGAGCAGAGATGCTCACAGCTGCAGGCACATATAAGTAATGGGCAAACACTGACTGAAGGGCAATATTATGAGTGGACAGAGTATTTTGGGAGCTCTTCTTGATCTCTGCTCCACAGCTGCTCTCATGTGAGTGAGTGTATGCTGTAGGGAGGGCTGCATTTTTCCCTAGAGGTGCACCTTTGAAGTGAGCGGTCAGAGGATACTGAGTTTGGCACAGAGTGGCTGCTCTGCATGATAGTCTGTTTTTAAGGGTGAATATTTTTAGAAAGCATGCAAAATTTAAGTAAATAATGAAAAAGCAGCTTTGCTTCATGTCTAAGCTGATGTATAAAACAACCCCTCAGCCAATTAATAGATATCATTCACAGTTAACGCTAAATCCTAAATCTCTCCGTGTGTTTTCTGTGCTGAGAAAAACTATAGAAGTGATTGAAAAACTGCAGAAGTTTGATGAATGGCTATGTAATGCTTTCTATGCCATTAATTTAAATTTTCCTGTAAATGTTGGATTATTACAGTTTTTTAGTCTATCTTTGAAGGAATTTAAACACATGTTTTAAATTAACCACTACAGAAAACCATCTCTCTCTCTGTGTCCCCTTTGCTGTGAGATGTGAATTCTTGAGAATGTTCTGTCTCAATTTAGGCCCTGGGTAAACTGTTTTTTTTAATGGATCCTTGAAAAGTCCAAAGGCATGAGATTAGAATTATTAAGTGAGACTGATAGTGTTGGGGTTTTTACTAACACCCTTTCCAAAAAAGAAACCAAGCCCAGAACACCCTCAAGAAAGGATGAAAAATGACACTTTTGACTTCTTAGTATGATTGTCATTTTCACTGTGAAATAATGCAATAAAGACATGTAAGAGAACACCTAAAAATTAAGCTTCAACTGCATATTTCTCCATCACCCTTATTTCTGAAGATGAATATGCTTTTAATATATTGAGCGGATTTTTGTAAAAACTGGAATATATAGCACTACATGTTCCTGTTGCTTGCTGTGATAAAGTTGCACTGTCAACTCTAGCCAACTGGGTTCAAGCTAAATTAATCAAAAGCTCTTTTCCATCTAAACTGAGAACAATTTTTGTTACACAGTATGCTTTCAAGTAGAGCAGAATGCAAGGAGAGACCACAAGAAAGTGTGCTTCCTTGAAACCAGCAAATCCCTTCAGCAGAGCAACCCCACTGTTTTTGTGTCCATTTTCTCTAATTGGCAACCTTTGGGGCACTTTGTAAACTACTGCTATGGGAGCCTATGACCAGGAGAGGGCACTGTCTAACTTCTAAACATTAAAAAAAAAAAAAAAAAAAGAAAATTCCTAGTGTATTAGTTCTAATTAAAAACATCAGCCTGCTAAGAACCTGCTAGTTGTAGTTAGCAAATAGTGAGTGTTTGTGGTTAGTGAAATGTCATCTTGTTGGGCAGTATAAATTACACTTGCACCATTAGTCATATAAGTTAACATACACTGTGATGTCACCTGTTCTAGCCTTTGATTTGACAGATTCATCAGTGAAAGACAAACATTTTTGTTGGAAGCAATGACAATCATCAGACATCTTCTGCAACCTCTTTTTAGAAGAATCCTCAAAGATGTATTATGGAAGGGAAGTGTTTTGAGAACCATGATCAGCATCTAGTGATATGGAGGGCCAAGAGAGTGGAAGTGCTCATGTTTTCAGAGAAGGCTCATGTCCTAAGACAGTTCTTGAAAGGGTTCTTGTAAACATGATTAAAGGAAAACAAAAAAGAAAAAAAAAAAAGAAAAATAAGGTACCATATAGTTTTCATGAACCTTGATCACATGATCATATTCTAGGGATCTGTTAGTCTTCCCTTAGTGTAGGATGAACTCCAGAGATTCCTCTTGATTCCTTCCTTGCATGCACAAAGCATCACCTACTGCTACACTGCTCTCCAATTTACATGCATATTTTCA